GAAAACAATGATAATTTCTCCAGCAACAGCAAATATTGCAAGATGCGTCTGACTGTCAAGAGCTCTCTTTTTGTCAAAACTATCTTTTTTGTGAACCAGAAATATTGCTAAATTTGTTTCTTATATTGTATTTTACCAGATTAACTGTAGAATATTTAGAACATTTAGAGGGGAATTGAGGAAACATGATTTTTAAAAAGATATTTCTGGTATTAGAGGCCTTTTTCTCAGTAGACTAGAAAGGAAATGGAAAGAGAGAGAAAGGGGGACGACATGCGGTAAAGGTTTCGGTGGGGAATCAAAACCCAGACGCATAACGGCCGTAATATATGGGAGGCTGATTTACCTCTACACTTCACACATCGCCGCAGGGGAACTTACTGAATGGTTGTTTGTTGTTGTTGTTGTTGTTTTTAAGGAACTGAAGAAACTTTAATCTCTTTCTTAGTTTGACAAAAATCCTCTGAAACTCTGTTGGAATTTTTGTAAAAAAAAATAAAATAAAATAAAAAAAAGGGCTGAATAGATTTCTTACATTTTATTAACCTGCAACCCAGAATATCAAGAAAAAGTCGTCATCCAGCAACTTGCTTGTAAAAAGTTGAATCATCAACTTTTACACTTGTGACATAACCCACCATCTTGACTTTGTCAAGTTAAGTTGTTGCTTGCTGAAAATCTGATTTGTTTGTTGGGGGGGGGGAGTCATTAAAAAACTTCCCAGCTGTCTACCTGCTGTGAAGGTCACTCCATAAAGCATCTTTATTTATTTCATTCTTGAGTCTTTTGTAGATTAGGGCCTGAAACTTTAAATCCCCCAGAGAGATTCTGACCCTGAGGCTAAAATGAATAAAACTTTGTTATGCAGGTCTTGGTTATGCCTGAATTTTACCTGCTCATACGTGCAGCTCTGGACTATTAAACGACACATTTAAAGTGATATATGAACTTCTGTCACACACAACAATACATGCGTGCAAAGCGAGGTGCTTCATAACTTTGTCCCTGGAGAACCAGAAGGTTTCGACGTCAGGAGAATGATCGGATGTATGTTGGTCACAAGTGAGTTCAAATTATGGAAAATAAGCCATAGAAAAAACAATATTGATTAAACAATCGATATTCTGTACTTAACAGTGAAACCTTTACTGAGACTGGAAGCTAATTCACCGACCTCCTGATTAAATATGCTCAAATTTGTAACAAAGATTGCCTTTTCACGGATTTTTCTTATTAAGAAGCACATTTTTTAGTTATTGGTTTACCACACGGGTCCACATTTCCTTCATACACGCCGTTCTTTCAGCAACAAAGACTGCAGTCTTCATGTCTCCTCGTCTAATTTGTCGTGTCTAAATCCTCTGGTCTTTCGCTCAGACAGACATCTGACTTGAAACAAAATAATCCGCCCTCCTCCCCCAGGATTTCATTAGACAAGTAAAGCTGTCACCTCGTTAGTCGAGTCCTGTCGGTTATTTTTGGGCGAAGAAGAAAGATGGATGTTAAAGTAGAAAAATAGCAACTTAAATGAATGAAGGCTGTCCACAGGCAAAGAATCTCAATCGGAGAAACATTTTCTCAAATTAAATTCTTATGGAAGTTGTAAACAGATTTCTGCTCTGAAATCCTGGCCAACTCTTGGAGTCTACGGTAAATTCACAGCTTTTGCTGATGATGTTTCTGTTGCGCCTCATTATTTAAAAAACTAGTTCAGTTCACCTGTCAACAAAACCTCACTTCAAAAAGATCTCAGCTTTCTCGTTCGTATCAGTCACACCGACGTGAGATCAACATTTACGTTTAAAAGTTTTTACAAAGCATTTGAGCTTCTATTGCATTTTTTTTTTTATTTGGGGAAACTAATGAAAATGGCTTCAGCCAATCAGAAGCACTAACACATCCTAGTGTTGATAGTTTGCATCACATCTATACATTAGCATGAACCAGTTTCACCCTTTTTCCAATCATAATAATAATAGAGCCTCAGAGATCTTAGTGCACTGTTCTCTGAATTTATTCCCCTGAAGCCTTTGTGAGTCTTTCAACCAGTTTGTTTGCTTTTGCTGTAAAGGATGACTTAAAAAACAAGATTCCACATTTCCCCAGTCGCTGCCTCTGCAGGTGGATATGATGTTCAGCTGCCTGCTGTGCATCAGTCCTCCCTGCAGCTAAGACATCCAGGAGATTTTTATTGTTCTTTGACCATGCCAGAGCTTTAAATCTAACTTAAGCTTTACCTTAACATGCATTTGCTGTTTCTTGTTGTTTTTTGTTCATTAGTCTTTTCTGACTCTCCGCTCTTGTGTTCCCATATATGCTGATTAAACTGCCTGCTATTAGATGGATGTAGCTATTTTTCCAGATGCCAGCTTAGGTTGGTTCTTAATGCGTACTTATGCAGTGATGAAACACACGTCGGGTTCCACTGCTGGACTCAGATGGCTCCCCTGACGCTGTTGCCCGTTTCGTTTTGCCTCTCTTGTTTGTCTCCAGTTCGCGCCATCGTGTCGGGACGTTTTTCATGTTGTCTTCACCTGCTGGCTTTGCAGGGATGTTTTGTATTACAAACGTATTTATGTGTAAAATAACTTTCTTAGGAAAGCTGCTTCACGTTTTCCCCAACAACAAATAGATCCATGGGCCAATGCTTCTGATTTCTAAGAAACTACCACAGCTACTTGCGGCTGCTTGCTTTATCAACCTGATTTCATGTGCATTTGTTTAGTCAGCATAAAAACAAATAACAAAAAGAGCACTGAGGTATAGGTGTAGGTTTAAATTTGTATCCTTTCTGTTTGTTTGAAGCGTTTATTGCAGATACGTTGACAACTCAGTGGTATGTATTTGTGCTACGGTAGCTGCGAGGGCTAATTAATATGGTAATCCTAACACACAGTGCAAATAATTACATTGTTTACTTGTGTGTCATGAATTTATTCATGAACATATCTTCCCCCAAATGAACTTACATCAAACTAGAATAAATAAATAAACCTTGCACGCAAGACTATCCATCTGCTGGAATGAAGCACACTCTTACCAATGTGTGTGAGAAAACCCAAACAAGGTCACACACACACACACACACACACACACACACACACACACAGATCTACCGCTTGTGATGACGCGACCGCTGTCCCAGAAAACGTCGTACATGACATGAAGACAGCTTCTTACTGAATACGTTCATGTTTATTGTCTCCGTTTCTCCTCCGAGTGGTGAGTCATGGTGCTTCAGCTAATTGCAGGGCTGTTTTGTGCGGATCAGAGGCCTCTTCAGTGGATGGGGCCCTCTGCTCTGCTCCAATCAGCCATCATGCTCTCTATTGTTGCGCTGCACTGAAGCTGGTGGCTGAGTGAACACACTGTGAGTGTGTCGGAGGGGAGGAGGGGGGGGGGGTGATCGTACAGAACAATCAGACCAATCCATATTTTTGTTTATCACTCATTCACAACTCAAATGCAGCCGAGATTCGAAAAAAAATATTAAGCGGCAGACAAACTTTTTTGGATGTGTAAATTTGGGGGGGGGAGTTATGTGATAGATCTACACAAAGTGAAGCATAATTGTGAAATAAATCTAGGAGGAATTGATGAGACAAGAGAATATAAAATCAAATCAAACCAAAGTGATTAAAATGAATCATGGAAGGAAAAGCAAAGGACTGATTGGTATAAATAAATAAATAAATAAATAAATAAATAAAGTTTGATCATGTATTTTATGTGACAGGGAACTTTAGAAAAGAGCTGGGAATATTGAACCTTTTAAAGGATATGCTGGAACAAAATGAGACGACCAACCTCGCTGTAGCTCCCGGATGGAAAAGTCTCTTTATGTGCTCTATTCTGCTACCTCAGAAAGTCGGGGAGTGTCTTGATAAATCAAAGCAGAGGAATCATCCTTCGTCCTCTCCTGGCTGTTCGCTGTTGCCATACTGAACCTGGGGGCCGAGTCAACACTGCCTGCAGGTTGGGGGTCTTCAAAACAGCCCGGTAGCTTCAGACATTAAAGTCTGCTGATCATACCGGGCGCAACTTGTATTTTAATTGTGGACTAAACGAAGATTTGTCTCCACTGGGCTGATGAACCTGGAGAGTTGAATCACTTCCAGCTTCATTTTGTTCCTATTAAGGAAGAGGACTAATTATCCAGACTGAGCTTGTACATGTTCTTGGTGTGCTATCTGCAGCTGCATGTCGCCCCTGACAGTTTTTAATAATCACGGCATCGTTTCATGTGCACCGCTTGCAAAATTGTGTTTTTGGCCACATGCATTGTTTTGTTGCTGTAATTATTGCATTTCAGCTGTCTATACGTGGGGGAGGGGTGGAAGCTGAACAGAAAGCTGCTTAAACGCCGAGCCCCTAAATTTATGACATTCAGTGCAACGTGCCACGATTGTGAAGCAGGAGGACGACGTCTTTCCTCAACTCAGATCCTTCTCTGGCACTGCATTGAAACCTGCTTCATAACAATATGACCGTTCATGATTTTTACCACAGCATGCCAATGTTAGTTTAGCACGTCAGCAAACTGATTCTGAACACTGTAAGCAGGAGCAGGATGCGAATTTATTGGAGACCGCAGCCCTAAGCGTTGAACGGTGCTGGGTGGGTTACTTTAAAAATTGAGCTGGTTACAATTATACGATCATTATTTTATTAGCTATTTCAAATGCTTTTATAATGTAACTACTATGGGTTAATTATTTTTTAGAGTATTTGAGGTGCGATGTGTGGAGTTGCAGAGTTTTCTTTAGTTTAAACTTAATTTCAGTAAATATTCCCACGCTGTTCTAAATCCTATCGTTTAAAGAAGACATTTCTGCCATGTGGCTTTACGTTCACAAGCTCTACTTCTCTCTCAGTGACTCTACTGCAGGTTAGTAATGCTGTTCTGTCCTCGTCTCCCGCTGACATCGAAAATCAAACAGGCTGCAGTGAGTGAGCGCAGTACTGATGAAATACAGTGGCGATTTACACTTTAAATCTACTGTATTTATGGTGTTGCTTTTATTAACTTTAACACCGTGAACTGGGAAATGGGATCGCCACATAACTTGAACTAATTTACTCGAATCTAAATTTTCAGTGATTGACACTGAAAATCTCAATTCGAGTAAACACGTGAACTCTGAGGGATTTTTTTAAAACTTATTTTTAACTAATGAGGGCTCTGCATTGGCCCAGTTGCCTTGTTGGGAGAGAAGAAGGTCCTGTGCAAAGCTTGTCATGAGTTTCTGGGCCATCTCTGCGGTACTGAAGCAAAAACCATGAAGTGAGAAGCTGTGAGAGCAACAGGCCGTCTCAATCTGAAGGGAAATGTGACGTAGAAGCTGCAAAAAAGACAACAAAAAAAAAAGTGATCACATGAGATGCTTTCCACACTAGTTGTGTTATTCAGCTATAAGGAATTTAGTGGACCACCTCTGAGTTATTGTGCGCCGGTATTATTGCTGCTTGAACTCTCCTTTCTCCAAGGAAATAATCTCGCTGAACTTTGCCGCTTCCCGTCTTCCTGCACTTCGCACTGAAGCTCCCCCCCCCGCTGTGTGATTTCCAAATCTAACACGTCCCATGCAGACTTATAAAGATCCAAACTCGGTCTCAGGACGTTTCGGTTTGTTTCCTGTAATTCGAAACATCTAATAAGACGAAGCCACTCGGATTTCAATCGACAAAAGTCTGAGTTTAGACCTGGTTTGCTTAACGCTGAGGTCTTACTGAGAAATGAGTTTCTCTGGGGAAATAACAGGACTAACTTCTGCTGCTTTTTCTAATGCGCTCCTTTCATCAGTACTAATGTTTCTTTATGGGCTATAAAATCACTGTGCAGTAATATACGTGTCGGGGTGGCGACGAAAGTTCAGAGACAAAATATAAAACTGAGTTTTTGGGGGAAATAATCGTTTTGTGATGTTATTAGACATCCCTAAATATGGGAAATAACCCCGTTTGACTGTGATGATTTTTTTTCCTCTGAGGAAGAGCATAAATATGTGTATAAGACAGCAGAGATAGCTGGATCTGGAGATGGATCCCCAGACGAATCAGGACGCATTCTGCGTTTTTTTTTTTTTTTTAAATAGCTCTATTTAGCTTGGCCTAGTTTCCACTAAAGCAGCACTGAAAAGTCTGGCAGGTTACAAACCCATCAGTCACTCCCCATACTTTGTATTAAATCTCTTCTACATCTAGGACGGATTTCGAATCTCTCGAAAGCGATATTATATAGTTTTTGAACTACAAAGGTAGTATTTTGTCTGGCCTAGCCGTTGTTTTCACCTGTTTCCTCCCTCTCCTCTCATCTCTTCTCCCTGACAGGTTTATTGCCAGCCCAAGGCAGTCTGCCACTCACAGGAAATAGAGGAGTTTTGCTGCCTGAATGAAGAAAGCTGTGATGGAAACAGTACGACAGGTTACACACACCACACACACACACACACACACACACACGCACACGCACACAAGCAGAGATGATGTTACTTATACACATGTACTTCTATGAAAGGAAACTTGTAGATAAGACAGTAAGTAAAGGTTGTTCACTGTTTCATGGAAGAGGTGCACAACACTGAGATGACAAATAGATTCAATTAAATGTGTGCTCACACAGTAGCGCACATCTCGCCCAGACTTGCTTTGGGGTTCAGAGTTTTCAGTATAAACCCATAAACACTCACACGTTGTCCTTTCCACAGGGGCCTTTCCTCTCCAAACATGATTTCCAAACCAAAGTTCTGGGAGCTCAAACGTTCTCCAGAGCGTTAGCTGTTCTTTAATACTTTTGCACAGGCAAGTGATCCCCAAACTTTGCCCCAAACCAGCCAAGTCCCACTGACCTCTTTAAAAACTTGCTCAGCTTCCATTGCCCCTTTTACTTAAAGTCGCTGTCATGTAATTTTGTCATGTCTACCACTTTTGTCCAGCATCAAAATGTCTGATTAGTTCATTATTGCTCATCTGTCAGAGCTTCCAGACCTGCAGGCGTTCCTGGGTACCCGGTGTTATCCAGGAACTCCAGGCTGGTATCCTGCATGCTTTAGGTTTGACCTTGCTCTAAAACGACTGAATCAAACTTCCCGAATTTCCTCCTCAGCATGTCACCTAGTGCTACTGAATCCTGCTAATTAAGCACTAAATCTGCAGGTGTGTTGAATCAAGGCGACATCTAAATCCACCTGTTCTTAAAAACTGACTTTGGACTCCAGCTATACACCTTTCCCAACACTTTTACTTTTTACATTTTGACTGCCTGCATGTTACACCCTGCGCATGATATCCTGTGGGACGTTTTATTTTATGTCAGTGGATCTTGGACCCTGTATAAAGTGGCAGACCACAGCTTAGTCCACATAAATCCTTGTTCTATTTGCTAAATCACAAAAGAAGTGTTTCAGTTACTTGTTAAAATTATTAATTGGTACAACTGGATTTAATTATTTAAAGCAGGGGGCGCCAGAGTTTTATAGTGGGCAAAATGAAGAAGAAAAAAAAAAAGCAGAAAAAGTGACTGATGATGTTTGGGTAACTTCATAAATCCTATGCCACAGACAAACTGGATGGATTTTTAGTACGTAATATTACTGTGACTAATGAGAAAAGAGTCTGGACCGATTAAAATTATAAAAAAAAAAAAAAAAAAAAGAAGGACATAAAACCATGATTATTTAAAGTTGGCAAATCTCACAACCTCTGTGAAACATAGGAATGAAATATCAAGCACAGCAACAGCAAAAGGTTTGCAGAAATAAAACTTGGGGTGTTTTGAGGGGAGTGAGTTTAGTTGATTTGTTCTCTGAGGGAAGGCTAGATCTCCCACACTTTGAAAGTTCCTGTTTTAAAGCACTTGTGCTTCAAATCTGACCCATCGTCTAGGTTTTTAACCAGTGCACCACCTGGTACCGCTTGAATTACAACATTTGGGAAGTGCATTTTACATGTGCAGCAGGTGATAGGCCGCAATCATTCTGAGATGAAAATATTAAAGGTTTTTTTGTTCTGCCTCTTATGTTCATACAGTTTTTTGCAAAGAAATTATTGGTTTCTCCCAGGTGGCAAGGAAAAAAAAAATGCTCCTTTGTAGCAAACCACTTTTACCTTCACATGAAAAACGTGTTCAAATATAAAGGACCTGTAGAAAGTGCAAGGCAGAAATATACTTCTTAAGCTGACAACGACAAACATTTGAGTTATGGAAAGCTACTTATTACAATCGCTTTAGCTTCTGTGACGACATCAGTTTATTGTTGTTTGCCATCTGCCATTGCTGTGGTGGACTGGCGCTGAAGTGTTCGCTGTCCCACAACAAAAGCCTCAAAAATAAAAGTGTGCGGCACGCTGCTTGCTGCTGCTCACTGTTGTTAGCAAACAGCAGAAATGTGAGTTGATTCAAAACTTCTATCGCTTCACGGAGCTGGTGGCGACACTAAAAAGACCGATTGTTCCCGGTGGGAGGCTTTAGTGTATGATCCATCATCACACTGATAATGAAACAGCACCAAGGACACAACTCTAACTCACACCCACGCTCCCTGTTGCTCACCCCCATTTGTCCCTTTAGCTCACCTTGTGGTGCAAAATGAATTCTCAAAAGTTGCTGGTGAGCAGAGGAGAGAACCAATCCGTGGTCAACCTGTGGAGGCTTGCTTTATTATTCGTGTTCATGTGATTTGTATTTGTGAAATGATTTAAATTTGTAGGGGATAACTATAAAAAAATGACAACATTCAAAAGAAGAGCTGGGAAGAGAAAATATGGCAACATAGAGAAGAAAAAAAGAAGCAAGCAGAAACAGGTTTAGGGTAAAAATCCGTTAAAATGATAAAAAGATAAGTCATTGGTTATCAAAACATGGTCTTGCAAGTATTTAAAATAACAAAAACCTCTGCAAAATTATTTTCTCCTTGACATTTTCACAACTTACAGCCATCATTTGGATTTTAGCTCTAAATATTGGCAGGTTTTGTATCAGTTCTGTTCATTTTAGCACTTTCTGTGCAGGTAAAGTTTGAAGTCTGTCTTCCTGGTGAGGAACATGAAATCACTGAGGTGATGTAGCATATTGTTAGGCCTGGTGCTTTGCAAGGACATGTTGTTGAAGACCCACCACTTACTTTGCATGAATGATGGGACATTGACTCACTTCCTCATTGGCTTCTTCAGTGGCAGTGTAAGAAACCGAGGTTTGCTGTTCATTGTCGACATTTACTCCTGGATTTTCCTTCAGCTTGTAATTCATGCATGGCTGCGTTCAAATTCCCCCATCAAACCACAATGTGCCATGTTTCCTCTGCCATATTGTCACTGATTGTAGACTTTTTCTTTCCCACCCTTTCAAAACTTCACACATTTAATGGGGGGAACTGAAAGAGCATTACTTTGTTTCTTTGACTTCAGAATGTCATATTTCAAAGATCATGACTTTGTTCTTCAAAGTGGCACAATCATTAGCAGATTTTATGTCACCCCTTATTTGAATAGGTTGCATTTATCAGTAAAATTGCAGAAGTGTGGCTGAATCTTTAAAGGCCTACTTAATGTGAGAGAGCAGGTTATTTATTTCAGAACAAAGCAAAATGTGAAAGAGATTTTCAAGCAAGAAACAAAGCGATGCCATCAGTGGCACCACCGTTGCTGCCATTCTTCTCCTCTGAGTCTCATGAATAGCATATTTACACTGATGTTATTTAGTTATTGTCTATTCTGTTAGCTTGTTTTTATGTTGTTGTTTGTTTCATTGTCGGAAGCTAGCCTGAATTTCATTGTGCAATGTAAAAATCTAATTTAAAATCATTAATTCAAGCTAGACAATTTAAACATTTTCACACGAGACGTCAGGAACAAGAGAAAAATCAAGTCACACCAGCCTGAATTTCATCTTCAGCGAAAGGGATAATCTGAAGATCTCATTTTCACATAGAGGAAGGTTTGAATATGAGGCAGGATGAACAACCTGAGTGTCAACTAAAGATGGAGCTCCCTATTAAATTCGGTGCTGGCCAAAAGACTGATTCTGTCTAGATTTTCTCTTCCCACCAGCAGAATAATTTAACAATGTTAGATTGTTGAACATTTTCTGCTGTTCAAACTGATTTTATCATGAGAGGAAGGCTGCAGAACAACCAGCACTGCTGTGTTTTATACAAATACGTGTATGATAAATATACATTATCATGATACGTTTGTGGATTTCTATTAGGACGCTGAAACAGCTCCGCTGTGCTGAAGCTCCTCCCACATCCATCTCATGTAACGCTGCTGAAAGCATAGATTGTTCTTGGTATTAATTTTAGAGTAATGCACATACTCACTCAAACACTTGATGACCTTTTCGTTTAACGTCCAGGATGAGCTACGGCCATGTGAGCGTTTCAGACAAGACGCACTTACTCATACCTTGATTTTGCATAGAAACACACAGAGAGACACGCACAGGCCGAAACAGAGCTGTCACCAGTATAAAGTAAAGGGCCATAGTGTGTGAATCACTGAATAAACAATGTATTGTTCCTCAGCTCTCTGCGTAATTTGATGGAGAGCAGCTGGATGAGTGGCAGGAATATTCCTCAACACGATTGTGGATTACATTTTTTTAACGGGTTTACGGGTCATTTGACATTCACCTTCTAGTTTTTTCTCTCAGTAGAAGTGTTATTTATCACACCACTATTGTATTTGTTTATGAGCCTAAACTGTGGGTTAAGATAGCTTACGTTGTAGTTGTTGATATAGCGGCTGCTTTCAAAGACACCTGCAGCTATTGTCTATTGACTCAGCTTAGAACAGAGGTTCCCAAACTGTGGGGCGCGCCCCCTAGGGGGGGCGCCGTGTCATTGCAGGGGGGGCGCGGGAAGCCGTCTGGATGAAAAAACAAAACAAAACATGAACACTGTATGCGCTGGGTTTTTACCTTAAAATGGCCAATTCTGTTATTCCTATGTCAATTTGATACAGTAGGGGCTTCCACATTTCCCATATTTGTGTCCTCTGTCACTTTTATCAGCATTTAAAACTGTTTAATCCGTAGTTAACATGTTGTAACCTGTTTTTCCGAGCCGCCTTTAAACGCAACATGAGCGCTACGACGCTCGCGCTGGGTTTCCACCTGTGAAGGAGACCTGCTGCTGCTGTGGAGCTACGTAGGTTTGTGTTAGAATCACGGCAGCAAACCAGCAAAACGCAAAGAACTTTTAATAGTTTTTCCCTCCAAACTAACCGACTGAGTTGAGTAAAGCTGTTGGATGCAGGTAATGTTAGCTAAAAGATGACTAGCTAATGTTAGCTAAAAGATGACTAGCTAATATCAATACAGAACCTTTAGCTTAGCAAGTACCTTGTAGGCTACCGATGTTGGTGTCTATTTTCAGCTACGTACATTCATTTTGCC